CAGACTGGTGACCATCTTCCAGACTGGTGGCCATCTTCCAGACTGGTTGCCTTCCTCCTGACTGGTTGCCTTCCTCCTGACTGGTTGCCTTCCTCCTGGCTTCTTCAGGACTTGTATCTTACTCTACAGCGAATAAATCTGGTTTTTGTTGTCAAGATGTGTATTATGTGAAAATACTTGTCTTCAACTGTATTAAAAATACCTTGATAAAAGGATCCAATATTTAAAAATCAAAATATTAAATTCCAGGTTTATTCCCATCAATTCCCATGGAAAGTTTTCAACAATGAAATGCCCCAGAATTTTGCAACCCTAGTTCTCCTCCAAAGAAATAAACATGAAACAAACAAACACACCTCGTCTTTTTGCTCTAAAAGGATGTCGAGGCTTTCTCTTTTGTCAGACTCGCTGCCCTGATGTAAACGGTCGATTCGTTCAAGAAGGACGGACAACTCGTCTTCCTCTTGTTCTTCCCACCTCTGCTCTGCTTCACTCAGCTCTTCATCGTCCTCCTCATCCTCAGAGTCGGTTAGGGCCGTTATGTACCTGAAAACAACAGAGCAGAAAAAGGTGACGCCTCAGTTCTCTGTCAGTGCAATCAGGTGTCACTCATGAGCCCATAAATGACCCACATCATGTGCAACTTGGCCATAAGCAGCAACAATGAAATGTCCAACATTCCTTGAAGGAAATGCATATTGTAAATATATAAATATATATTTATACATTACATAAATATGATATGCATATCGCCCGCTGCCTTCCACACTGTCGTTTTAGACCGAGATCATCTTTTGATGGGAAACAGCACAGCTGTTGTAATTATGGTCAAATTAGGAAAATATCTCAATCAATTCTGCAAAATTCACTTATTCTCAGCTTCTACATCAAACTATCCGTTACAGTCACTTTCAAGTTGACAGGTTGTGGCACCATCTTGAATCTTTTTGATCTTTTCCAAAAGATAAGCAGCTTGTAGCGACATGAGTTTTGTTGTGAACTGATAGTTTCATCACATTTCTCCTCTGTCTATCGCTCAAGATGGACGCTTCTGCTCTCCTTCCCCCTGTTCTCCTCTTCCTCCTGCTTTTGTTCTCTGTGTGTTTGGAGCTCCTGGTACACAACTCCCGAACGAAAAATACAATTATGGATCTGGTGAGATGGACTTTCAATGCAATCAACAAAATCTTTTCAACAAAACGACAGGGTCCTGGAGAACCCTCTTGTCCAGCTGAGCGTCACGCTGTGGGGTACATCAGAGATCCGTGGGGAGTTTGGAAGCTGATGTGTCTCTCAGTTCTGTCTCAGGAGTCTTCCTGAGACAGAACTGAAGAAGTTTATATAATTGGATTCATGATAACAGGGGTTCTGCTCTTCGGCATCTGCGGGGCTCTGTTTTATCAACTTTAAGAAGACTTCAGCAGCAGTTTCGGCCATGGCAAAGCTTCCGAGTTTGTGTGAAGGATTGGTTCATACTACGAGTACTCAAAATCAGCTGATTTACGAGCTAAACCATAAGATGGAGGCGATTTGTGAGAATCGTAGGCCACCTGCACCTTCTAGGACTCACCAGCATGTTGGGATTGACCTTGAGAAAGGCTCATAACATGGATCAGTGGAGTGAAATACCCATAAATCTGGCCATTTTGGACCGGGAAAGTTCCAGCAGGACTCAAGGCTGACAAGAAAAAAAAAAGTCTGCCTGAAGAAAATCAACAATTGTGGCTTATCTGAATCCGACTCCCCCGTTTGGCCTCGGATACAAGCAGACTATCGAATTTCTCCTGGGACATGGGTAACTAGGGACAAAGATTTGTCCATCGGAACACCCCCACCCCCCGTGAACTTCTGTACAGGTTTATCAGACCTGCAGGCTGCACAACATCATCAGGACTATGGCCTATCTATCTGAAAGTGTTTCATGGACAAATCTCAACATCTTGACGTCAGATGCATGTAATGTGTCTATAAATGTGCTGCTGGTAGAGTTTGATTTCTCTGGTATCCTGGTACAATCATGACAAAGTTTATTCCGATTCATCCGATTCAACAAAATTGGCCCACTGGTTCAAAAAATATTCAGTTAACGGACAGAGTTGACTAAATAGTTAACAACAAAATTTACAACCTTCAAACTGTGTGAAAAGGATTGCACCGTCTCCAGTTTTGAACTGAGAAAGATTCCTGGATGTGAAACGAAGCGTCAGTGACTACAGAATAGAAATCCAGTTGCTTTGTTTTTTTTTAATAGGCTGATATCTGTAAAACTGACAGTTATAATCATTTTTGTATTTGTTAAAGTCAGCTGTGGTGTCCATCTTAAAAAAGGTGTAGCTCCGATGACAGATGCACACAAACATAGGCAACGCAACTATCGCCAGACTTTTGCATTTTGCGTTGATTGATTAGCAGCCTCAAACCAGATTTGACTAAATGTCAAGGCCCATTTCTAAAAAAAATAAAATAAAAATAAAATAAATAAATAAATAAAAAACACAAACCGAAGCAATCTAGTCCCAACAAGCAGTTTTACGAGTGACGTGCCTCCAGACTCTGATTATGGTAGATCGATCTTCGAGGCTTGTTTACACAGAAACAGGCACCTGGTATGTTTACACAAGTGGGCAAGTTAATTGTTTATAATGTTTTTAACTGCCGACGTCAGACACATGAAGAGTTGTCAGCACCTCAGTGAGGACTTGCTGAACAAGGTGAGGCATGCATCGTGTGCATTAGATGGTGTCTTTTGGACCCCGGGCAGGTTCACTCCGAGCCAACACTTAAAGGAGGTGGAGGCAGAATTAAAGGTGTAATAAAGTTATAGGTAAAAATCAATGACACAGACACGACGAAAAGCCTCAATTAGGTGTTGGCAGGAGTTGCATGTGCGTCACTAGTGGTTCAAAGAACATATTAGGCCGTGAGCTATGGTTTAGGAGGGATGTGTCAGAGCACAGACGGTAACGTTGTGGACCCAGCAGGTGCTTGATAACTCCATCACACAACTCACTTTCTGAATGCAGAAACGAAGGAATACAAGGCAATTAAGCTGCACAGATCTTTGCAGAATGAGATGAGTTGCTGACCCTTGACCTCTGAAAAAGGAATAACCAAATGAAGAAAGAAGGATGAAGAAGAAGAAGAAAAAGATGAAGAAGAAAGACGACAAAGAAGAAGAAACGAAGAAGACAAAGATTTTCTGCAGCCGAGGAAAGAACAAGTGCCATGACTGAGAAAGTTCCTAAAACAAACGGAGACGTGTTGCACGTCTCTACGATGTGCTCTGTGATGAAGGGTGAAATGCTCCATGTCCAATGAATGCATCCATCCATCCATCCATCCATCCATCCATCCATCCATCCATCCAT